AGAAAAGACTTTTTCTCTTTCTTGTGTGATTTCTTGGAAAAGCAATCTATGGAATTCATGAAATTATATTAGTGGAAAAGGGTTTTCTAAGTATCTGCAGACTTATGGATTGACTTGGTTTTTTTTTTTTTTTATCAATTTATTATAATAATCTAACAAACACTAATCCTATCAGAATGTATGTCTTTTAGACAATTGCATCAAAAATAGGTACTACTAACCTTGATGATCAATGTTTATCCACAAACCCTCCTGACTCCTGATTCATCTTCAGTCAGTCTCCGTTGTTGCTGAAATGGAGTGTCGTCGCTTCTGGATTGCGAAAACCAACAATAGAATCCCTTGAGCGATTCACAGTTGCTGCATTTAGGTACTCGAGGGACTGAGAAAGATCGGAAAGGGACACGAGATTTCTTCATTTGTCGTCGATGCAAATCCATCTTTCTTGAGATATGAAAGCGGCTGAGTATCAATCAACACACAAGAAACCAGAAATGAATATCAAACTCCTGTTGTGAAATACAACAAGAAGAGTTCACAAAGAAGTGAAGGCTATCATATTAGAACTGTTTCTTTCTCTCTATGTAGACTGATCAAATGTTTAAAACAATAACCGAACCTGGATTCATTACAGAATGCATTACCCAGACGAAGAATCAAATTGTTAGCACAATAGACAATCGTTATTCAAAAATTGAACATTAAGTGAAATCACGATGGATACTCTCAATTCTCTAATCGCTTCATGAGTCGTGTACGTGGTTTCTCTCCATCTCCTCTGATCCTTGAATCGTGCTCAAATAAGGAAATCGCTTGTATGAGTTGAGGTAAAATTCTCTAATTTGCTTGCAAATCGTTGGTGTGAGTGACGGATACTCTTTTCTGGTGACAGAAGAGACGGAGACGACGCTGCAAAACAGAAACTGGGACGTAACATGCATGCTGTTTCGCAGTCTTACCAAGAGAAAAGTGTGGCATTTTCAATTTCATTTTGAAGTAAACGGAAAAGATTATAAGAACAAAAATTAAATCCGCTGCCGGGCTTCGAACCCGGAAACATGAGAGCCCAAAGGCTCAAGTTTTAACCTGTGCGCTACAGCAGAACTTTTGCTAAAAAGTCAATTGTAATTATATATATCCTTATATATGAAACCAAACCAAAACAACTAAATTAGATGATTATGCTTGTTAATCCTCAAAATTTGGTTAAAATTCGCAAAACGTGTGAATCTGAGTTTTATGGTTCATCGCAGTTAAGAGTCTTCACTGTCTAAATCAGTAATTTCTTCTTGTAGCTTTGACAAGAATAAACAGGATTTCTCATGCGTAATAATCCTCAACGAGTGATTTAAAGGATGCATTTGATGAATGAATCAATGAAATTACAACTAAAAAAGAAACATCATTAGGAAGCCATACATAGCAAACAAAACTTGAATCTCATATACATCAGACATATAATGTAGCAGCAGAACCAAAGATTAGATAATTAGTTATAACTCTTTTTTTCCTTCTTTTCCTCGGATTAAGCTTCCCAATCCAAATCAAACAACCTAAACATATCCATATTTAGATGGTGAAGCTAAACATCTATGGTGATGGAGCTAAGTGATGCATCATTTCTTGTTTGTTTTCAAGTGATTCCACGACAAGTCCGCTCTGTTCATCTTCTTCTTCCCAAACCAAGATTCCTAAGCCAACTCCAACGACTTTTTACTGCTTTTCAATTTGAGGGACCTTATTAAGCTTCTGCTTCATAGTCTCCATCTCTGTGGTGGTTACTATTGTCTCCAGTTTCGCTGCTGCTATTACTACTCTCGCATTCCTCCCTCAAGATCTGTACACCGCACTCAATAATCTTATCATCGTTTTCCCTGCAGCTGAATTTAAACAGAATCTCATTCGTAGTCACATCCAATTCATAGCATTTGTCCGTTTGAAACAAGTCCCCGCAAAAATATTAGCTTTGTCCCTCGCAAAGAAGCATACAACGCTTAGTAATTACATCTTTCAAATCATACACTAATTGTAACAAAAGTTATAAAACCAAACATAGTTATAGCTAGATCTTTCAAATGATAATGCAACTTCGGTCCTCTTCTTCTTCCACAAACCAAGCTTCCTAAGCCAACCCCAACGACTTTTGTTTTTTTCATCTTGAGAAAACTTAACAGCTTCTGCTCCATAATCTCCTTCTTGAGCTGTGCTGTGGTTGCTGTTACCTATAGTTTCAGAGTAATCAACTTTGCTGCTGCATCTACTCTCAGCTTCCTTCATCGAGATCTGTACACCACACTCAATAATGTTGTAGTTATCCCCGCAACTGAATTCAATTTGTTTGCAACATATCTGTAGCAATCTTTTGGATCAGCTCTGCTTCATTAGCCATAACAAAAGCAAACAAAACCTTGTTGGTGTGCCTAAAATTCACAAACATCCTACCATTGAAGCATTGATAAATTC